AATAGGCTTTTCAACGGCTGATGGTGTAGATATCAATGTATTTATCGAGCGGAACGGCAGGAATATTCACATATTATTCACATTTCATTGAACTATAATTCTGCATTTTATGAAGAAAAGATTCTGTGAGTGGTTGCTATGCAGTTGCTAGGGCATTATTGATGTCTTAGACCAGGGGTGTCCAAACTCGGTCCTGGAGGGCCGGTGTCCTGCAGAGTTTAGCTCCAACTTGCCTCTACACACCTGCTGGGAAGTTTATAATATGCCTAGTAAGAGCTTGATTAGCTGGTTCAGGTGTGTTTAATTGGGGTTGGAGCTAAACTCTGCAGGACACCGGCCCTCCAGGACCGAGTTTGGGCACCCCTGTCTTAGAGGATCAGGGAGGTCTTTAGCATGTTACTATGTGGTTGCTAAGGTGTTCTGGATGATTGCTAGGTCCTAGGTCTCTAGAAATGGCTCGGGTCCCACCTTCATGTGCATGTGATTTGTTTACACACCACATGAAAAATGCAATTCCATTCACTTAGAAAAACAGTATGTTATATTAAAAAAAAAAGTATGAACATTGTTAGAATTTAAGTAGCTGTGAAGCAAGCAAGATTCAATTAGTTAAAAGATTGAAAATAATTAGATTGAAACAAACTGGATTTATTGATTATAAATACATAAACCAGTTTATTGTGCATTTAAAACAAATTGATTGTATTAATACTATAACATAAACCTAATTTTACTTGACTTTTTAGTTTATGTATGACTACCAAAAAGAGTTATTATTGTTAACTAATTAAAAATAAAATATAAACAATTTAAAATATTATTTTTTTAAATAAATATTTAAACATTTAATTAAATATTATTTTAGCTAGTTCTCAAGAAATAATTTCTTATTTTCTATTACTTTAACTTGAAGTAATAATATAAACTAAAACAGCAATAAAAATTACTTTATTATAATTATTATAGTTTATCATAGTTGCATAGTTGCAAAAATAACATTATAGTTTAATAAAACTAAAAACATGAAAAATGTATTACTTGAAATAAAATAAATATAAATAAAATAATGTTAACCAAAATAAAATCAAATACAAGGAAAAAACTTATTGCATTTCAGATGCCAAGTCAACATTTCTCATATTTATTTAAACTTGATCAACTAAAATAACTCTAAACAACTAACTAATAACTCTAAACAAATAACTAATATATAAAATTACATAGACATATTTTGAAAAACTAATAAAACATTATTTTAACTCAAATTAAAGTGAAACGGGAAATTAAAAAAAATAATAATTCAAATATATTAGTGAAAACTACAATAGTATCTCAAATAAAATTAAAAACAAAACAAACAAAAAAAAACCTTAAATAACACTGCAGCTTAATTTAACAAGTCATATGATTTGAGGTACAAGTCATGCACGTTAACAACTTGCACGCCAAAACTTAGCATTATTAATGATGGAAAGTGTGAAAAACTTAAATAAAATTAGAATTAAAAAAAAAAAATTATACACAATATTTTGTCCAAAAAAATAATTATTATTGGAAATCAGAAAACATATCTTTATGTATTCATAAAACTGTTGCTAGATTTTGTAGGTTATCAAGAGGTTTACTGACTGATGTAGATCTTAAAATGACCATTATATTAGGCTGCGTTTACACTTGGCATTAACATGCGACCTGTACCCGGATGTTGTCCACATACACATTGAAAAGTAGGGTTGGGTACCGAAACCCAGTACCAATATGGCACCGGTATGTACTAGAACCGAATCCGAACGCAGATTTCTGTGCCTCATTTCGGTGCCATGCCTGAGTGATCGATTGAAATATTTGTCCTCTGGTTCTCCGAAACGAATGCAAGAAGAAGGGAAAATGCACGTGAACTCAAGTTGGAAAGCTCTAATAATACAAATCCCACACATCTTTGTAGTAACGAGAGTGTCCATGTTGTTTTCACATTCTGACTTAAAAGCACAACTCGATGAAATGAGAGCATCCGAGGAGTGCGTGAATGCAGTAGTTACACTTGCTTTGATGGCAGCAGGTAGCCTTCCGTTCACTAAGCTAAACATGCTTAAATTAAAATGCCTAAAGCTAAACCTCCCTGTTATTCACATTTCTAAACCTGTTGTCCAACAAAAGAGAACATTATAACCTTTTTACTCCACAACACCAGTCAAATGCTTCCTTTTGTGATCTGATGAGGCTTCTTATGGAAAATATATTCCATATGCTACTTTAAAAAGAATACATAGATTAGCAATAGATTATAAATTAGGGTGACCATACGACCTCTTTTCCCGGACATGTCCTCTTTTTGGACCAACAAAAATGTGTCCGTCCGGGATTTCTTAATCGCCCAAAATGTCTGGGATTCGGCTGTTTTCTTTATCCCGCTGAATCTCTGACCATTGCCGCCTGCTCCCGCGATTTTCGTGTCCACTCCTTTAAACATTCTAATATTGTATATAATTTTGCCGCATCAGGGAGCCGCTCTCAGGAAGTCAGGATGCGGTGTATTTAAATATTTTTGAATGAGCGTTTGCGCGGTTTACTTTCACTTTCGATTTCGCGATCACACATACTCTGTGTAAAGGCAGCACATCTTACCAGATCAGATATTTGTCAATGAACTCAGGATCTGTTGAGCAGCAAATACTCCAGCATGGTCTTGTCAGCCTTCTCTCCTTATTCTCGACCTGTGATCAGTCAAAGCTGACTCCGGTAGCTCTTGTTGGATGCAGGGTTGCCAAGTCAGCATTTTTTCCACAGAATTGGGCTACTTTTAAACTGTTGCCATGGGTTGATTTTCCCAAGTGGGTTAAAGGTTTGAAATATTGCATAAATTACATTTGACTGAAATGCTTGTATTGAAACATTTTGCATTCTACCTATGATAAAACTTTCATGGACTTCTACATTAACTGTTCCCTCCTGGTGGAATGACCTGCCCAGCTCAATCCAAGCAGTTGAGTCCTTAATATTGTCAAGAAACGGCTGAAAACACATCTCTTTCATCTTCATTTGACCCTCTAAACTCTAGCACTCTCTATTCTAATGCTACTTCTAATTTTATCTGCTTGTTTTTTTTAATTAAAAAACTTGACCTTCTAACATTTGCACTCTCTATTCTATTTCTATTCTAATGGCCAATCCATCATTTTTTGGGGGATGTCTTTATTTCTTTATTTTTTAATAAGTATTGGTTCAGGCACCGTTTAGGCACTGGAACCGTTTTAAAAGTATCGATTTGGCACCGATATCGAAAAAGACCCAAACGATACCCAACCCTATTGAAAAGACAAGTGTAAACGCGCTTCTGATCGGAATGTTATCCGATCAGCGTGTCCTGGTACAGAGGTAGACGCATTGTGATCGGATCTCAGTGTAATGTAAACGCAATCCAGCCATCGTGTTTGCATTTGCAGGTCGACATCACGCAAAACGCCGCCCCCTCTCTCCCGATCTGTCGGAAGAACAGAGCGCTAGTGAGACTCGTACATTTATTTTGATTTGTAAAATGCCCCGCGACTAAAAATAGTTTTCAAAAGAAAACCCACCACTTGAGGTCGACTTTGCACCGCAGACTTATTTAAATATTGTGCGGGAAATACAGATCCGATTGAGATTATACAGATTGAGAAGTCAGCTGATGTTGCCAAGTGTAAACGCGCCGTGTCCTGATTGACTGATGATCCGATCTGCTTGATCAGATCACGGTGATCGCATGTTATTGCCAAGTGTAAACCCAGCCTTAGTCTATCACTAATTCAGCTCCAAAATATAATATAACACAATTCTGACTGAATTACAGGCTACAATATGCAATCCTTAAAAATGAATTAAGCAATCGGCTGATTTGAATAACCAGCTAAAAGCATTAAGCCAAGTAAACCAAACAAAACCAAAAAACTGTAAAAGCCCTGCACACTGAAATCAAACGAAATGAAACTATGGGTGATCCGTTTCTCCACAAATCATGTGTCATGTCTGGATAGAGACTGATTGTGGATCACCTCAGGAAACCAAAAATCAATTTAAGCGAGACTGACAGTGTTTACTGGCCCACCTCAAGGCATTTCTCAATACCAACGCCCACAGAACAGGAGCTCAGCACTGTTATAGGCCTTATCTTGATATTAAAACACTGTCAGGAGTCTGACTGTCAACAAACGGCCCTCAGGGCATCATGGAGAGCAGGGTGTGCCTCCAACCGCCTGTATACATTTCACAAACCAAAGACACAGAGTCAGGTAACAGAAGGAGCCACTATCCATTTGTCCGCTGCTTTTCCTTCAGCTCGGGTTATATTTACCTGCTGAGCGGCCGGTAGATGCAAACAGGCAGGGATTTGGAGGAATTTCTTTTTCTTTTTCACTTACCCAACATGCCTGAGGAGCTTATGGCTCCCTTGGTGGCGATAAATGAGAGCATTTTCTCATTAGTGAACAAGACCGAGCTTTTCAACATCATTAGCATTCCCCAGGGAGCTTAAGTGACGAAACAGGAGGGCAAGTGAACACAAAAGAGACTAAACTTGAGATGGAAAGCAGCAGATGCTTTAGTATGTACTTGCTGGCCTGCTGAGGTACACAGCGAGATCAAAACACTTATGAAATGCAGGGTTTTCCACACAATTAAAGCTGAGCTGTGATCAAAATGGAAAATTAGCCTACTGTTTTAGCAAAAAATAATATGAATTAGTATGCATTATGCAAAGATAAGCAAATTCAAACAATAGTATGCAACACTGTTGTTACATGACCTCAGTGTCCACTGCTAATGCAAATGAAAGAAAAATCAAATGCAAAGCAATAAAACAAAATGCAACGCAATAAAAATGAATTGCAATAAAATCCAATAAAACAAAATACAATGCAATCTAATAAAATGCAATTCAATGCATCAAAATGCAATGAAATGAAAAGCTATTCAATGCAATAAAACAAAATTAAATAAACATTAGAAAGCAAAGAGTGCCTTACCGAGACCTCAAAGACTTCCTGAGTATCATCCAACATCTGGACCCGGATGGAGACCTGTCTGCCGGGGGGCATGGTGGGAGGCTGCTGGCCGGGCTCCAGCGTGCTGATGCCCATGCTCTCGGGGGCCCCCAGCCTCTGGCCCGCCACCGAGGGCCGCTCCTCTGGCTCCACCATACTGCTCAAACCCACCTGACAACAGAAACCATTTAAATGTTTATATGAGGGCCAAATGTTTTGCAAACACTTAATTGATATGGAATAATCCACCCCTAAACACAGACTCCATGTATAACTACAGTACTTTTCTATTAAGCTGGTCTAGTGATTGCACTAAACACTAACATAGTTTTCCTTTTTTGCAGCTGGAATTGTAATCTCGTGCTGCCCTGGAAAATGCCAAGGAGCACGGAATGATTTATGATTCCTGAAATGTGTATTTCTGCAGTAAACAACTTGTGCTGCTATAAGCAGTTTCTCACACAAGTCTTGATTTTAACTCTTGTTCTGCCTGACTGCGAGTTATCCCAACAAACACAACTGTTAGCTATGACCAGCTCAAAACAACAACCACCATTGGGGAAAAAAAGTCAACTATACAAATGAACCTGGCGGCAACAGGTAAGGTAAATGTGTGTTTCCCAGACATACTTGTGATTTTAATCTCATCTGAATCTGTTTTCCTCATTCAACCTTGCTGAAAAAGAATTTCTCTGCTTTGAGAAATCAAAATCTGTACAGATGCAATGTAATAACATAGAACAACATGAAATTCAAAGCAATGCAACAAAATGCAGTTCAATGCAATGTAGTAAACTTAAACAACATGATGCATTTCAATGAAATAAAATGCAATGCAATTCAATGTAATAAACTGTCATGCAATTCAAAGCAATTCCATGAAATAAAATTAGATGTAATTCAATGCAACAAAACTATGGATGCACCGAATGTTCGGCAACCGAAATTAAGCGAATAAGCGATAAGGCCGAATAATGTGTACTGAACAATGACAAACGTGATCAAATAGAGGCACACACTAATACAGCAAACATGATGTCGGCAGTGTGAAAGTATTTAAAACTATCAGAGAAAGACACAGAAATCATTACAAGCATGAAGCACCGACAGCGAGAGACTGTTTAGTGCTGCATCACATCTCCGATGAGAAGAAGAGGTGGCTGATGCTGGTGGTTAGGCTACTGTATGATGATTGAAATCGCGAAATGGCCTCAAACGATTAGTAAATAAACTGCAGAATGTTATTGTGATGAGTGGGGCGGAGCCGAGAGCCGTGGGAGCAAGGTCGGTGGAGTAAATGATAATGAGCGACACCTGTGCCACTCGCTTTATAATTTACTCCATCGGCCTCACTCTGCTCCCACGGCTCTCGGCCCCGCCCCACTCGTCACAGTTATATTTTCAAATGCACACATGAATTGCATGTATTCTGACAGCGCTGCACGAGCTTGCGGCGCCAGGTTTTAAAGTCCAAAGCGCGAGGAAAATCTGCACTGAAACTGTGTTACTCATCAGTAACATTTTTGTGATTTTTTTTAAAGGCATGTGACAATGTGATACGTGCGACAAACATCTTCCCAAATTCGTAATGAGAATCATTTATAAATCTGCATGCTGTTGTCAACAAAAAGCAAACATCTTCCCAAATTCGTAATGAGAATCATTTATAAATCTGCATGTTGTTGTCAACAAAAAGCAGCACTGAGATCTTCCTGCGTGTATCTGTCAAAATAAAAGCAGAGAAAAAGTCCATTAACATTCATAAATGATAGTATTGTAATTTTACTGTTGTTCTGTAAAATAAAATTAAAAAGACAATTATTATGATAATAATAATTACCCTACAACAGCTCTATTAATACATTTATTATAACATTCACACAGTGTTCAAATTGGGATCTGTAATATATTCTAATGTTTTAAAAGAATTCTCTTCTGCTCAGCAAGACTGCCTTTATTTGTACAGTAAATAAATACATGCCTGATTCAAGTCTCAAAAATATTATTTTACTAACTTATTAATTTTATTAATAAGTTAAAAGTTTTAAAGTTAAAGTTTTAAAGTTAAATTGTGCTTTGTTGGTATAATGTCTGCTAGAATGTAAAAAACAATGTTCAGGGTTAAGTAAATATTTTTAAATTGTTGTTTTGTAATTTATTTTTTTATTTGAAAAGCAGGGCAAAACAGTAAAAAGCATATTTTGGCTATTTAATTTATGCAATGGTGAAAAAAATGGCAAAATAGGCCTACACGGGGGGAAAAATGCGAAATACCGTGTTTGGTGTTCGGTATTTAGTGTTTCATTTTCTTCGGCTTCGGCCAATATTTTTAATTTCGGTGCATCCCCAAATAAAATTTAATTCAGTGCAATTGTATAAATGTTTTATACATATGTGATTGCACTACTACAATTTCACAAAATATTTTAACTGCTTCTTACACTTATATTTTCACTAAATATGAAGGATGCACTAATGAAAAATGTCTTTCTTCCCTCAGAATGCAATCGTAGGTAAAATATTTTGCATAATATGGACATATAAAATAGACACAGATTCCAGTGGGAACATCCCATAAGAAACACATGGATTAATTCATTGTGATGTGAATTGAGAGGAGTCCTCTGCACAATGTGACTTTGCTGCAGCCTGAAATTGAACTGCTGGTTTCGTCTGGTCAGAGGAGAACTGGCCCCCCGACTGAGCCTGGTTTCTCCCAAGGTTTTTTCTCCATTCTGTCACCGATGGAGTTTTGGTTTCTTGCCGCTGTCGCCTCTGGCTTGCTTAGTTGGGGACACTTCATTTCCAGCGATTATCGTTGACTTGATTGCAAAGATACTATTTAAACTGAACTGAGCTGGATGATGACATCACTGAATTGAATGATGAAAAATTAGTGTTTACTATTGTCATTTTGCATCATTGACACACTATTTTCCTAATTAATGCTGTTCAGTTGCTTTGACACAATCTGTATTGTTAAAAGCGCTATATAAATAAAGGTGACTTGACTTGACTTGATGTGCTGCATTCATACCCATCAAATCTCCTGAACTCGACGAGGTCTTTGATACTATAGTGATGGCTTAAAGTCAAACAATAGGCCCACCATCTCTCACCACTGAAAACCAGAGTTTATGGGTTTAGGAAACCATTAGGAAGGGTTTAAAGGCATTAAATCCAGGGATTTCTAACCCTAAAGAAGCAGATCGCACACTGTACCTCCAAGATGATTTATAAGTACCTCCAAGATGGATTATAAACTTGTGAGGTTGAAAAAGAGACCACCACTTTAACCTTTAACTTTTGAAGCACATTATGAAACAGAAACATTCATTAAAGATGGGAAACCTCCAACTAAGATCCTAAAAACACATTTTACTCTACTGGAGCGGTCCTGTCAGAGCAGGTCATGTCAGGTTTTCTGAAAAATATCTAATTTGCAGTTTATAAAGTAGCTATCCTTAAATGAAAACAATCTGCAAAGTTGTTAATAAAAAAAAGTGCATGATAAATAAAGATATTGTCCCTCAAAAGAGAAAGTCGATTCTGAATCGCCTTAACGAGTCGTCATATTTTCAAATCTTTTGCCTGTTACCGGTATACGTCACTGGGTAACACATTTGCATAATCCCCGCCTGCCCGCAAAATACGAACAGAGTCTGACCTGCCCACAAACACTTCCGCTAGTTAGTGTGTTTACATCATGTTGAGAAGACGCTGTGTTCAAGGATACCACAGAAATACAATTCAAACCTTTTGTTGTGTGCAACCCTCTACATTGCGAGTAAATCACTTGCATATGCGACTAAATCTTACTCTGGGTGACTAAATAATATCTAACATTAGCCATTGGCTAACAAATTCTTAGATTTTACACGCCAGTATGTGTGTGAGAGGTGTTCAACACAGATTTTCACTCGATAAACACACTGACTGAGCGCTTGAGAGTTTCGCTTTGCATCAAGCGATCTGTATTTGGATGCGCTCAATAGATCATGTCATGTACTCAATGGATGCGCAGTATGTAGCACGCAGCGCACCTGTATTTGACGTAACGTTACCATAAACTAGTGTGAAGGTGCACGACTCGCCGTCGCTTTATTGATAGCGCTGTGTTTCTCACACATGCAAAGGGAGAGAGTGAGAGTCTTGCATACCATGCTGAATCGACGCGCTACATGTAAACCATATTTTTGTTGTATTTTCCTGTCAAAATAACAGAGTTCATTTAGAATTATTCAGCTTTAAAGAACAAGCAGAAGATATGCCGATTTCTCGGCAGTGGGCGGAGCTAATGCGCGAACAGCTCTAGTTGGCTGGCGCTCATCTATTACCCCCCCTGTTTTGATTTCAGCAAATCAGTTCAAGCGAACACTGACACTGTGATTAATATTCATGAACCCAGCAGATAATAGTAGTAGTAGTAGTATCTTTTAATAATAATTACTATTACCTATGACCAACAATATCTTAAACACCACCACCAGTCCTAAGTTCAGTTAAAATGACAAATATGCATTCATTCATGGTTACCAAGTTTTAGTTCTAGTTCGATCATTAAATAGTGCTTAATTATCATAATATAATGCTTGATTGGCTGAAGTTAAGAGTGCGCATTCAGTTATTTAAGAAGCTGTCCCATTTTACAAAGATAAGCAGATTAGGTGGAATTATGTGTGTGTGTGTGTGTGTGTGTGTGTACCTACTTAACCATATTTTGGGGACAAATTTGTACCCAAAAGTGAGCAAAACCTGACAAAATCGGATGTCCTCATTTGTAAAAGTGTTATAAAAATAAAGTTTTTTTTAACTTTTGAAATTGTAAAAAGGGTTAGGGGTAGGAGTGGGTTTAGGTTAAAAAGTGTATAACTATCTGTATATAAAAACAATCGAAGTCTATGTAATGTCCCAATTTAGATAGCTAAGTAAACGCACGCGTGTGTGTGTGTGTAAAATAGTATATCCGTCTGGCGAGTAAATAAAAATAATTTACTAGCCAATGGCGATTATATTGCCAAGGTGTGCGTAGAGGGTTGGTGTGCATGTCATTTTATCAAGGACTGCTTCTCTAATCTTGGCTTTTATCTTCGTTGGCTTCTAATCTTCTTTATTTGGACTAACAAGCTCTCCGAACCACAACCTGTAAGTACGATTGTACATATAACGTA